GGATCCCGCTGCCAATGGGGTGGCCCCAAAGCCACCCCTGTCCCCACATGGAGGGAGAGCTGACAAGTCTGTTCGACTGCCCAGCTCCAAATGTGCCAAACCTCACTCACTTCCAGGCCTTTCTATGAAATGTTAATTGTAAGACAAATCTAATTAAGGGCTGAGAGAAGGGGCAAGATGCCAAATCTCTCCTTCATTCCCTCTGGAAAGGGGGAGCCCCACGAGTGAGAGGACAGGGCTTGGTGGAGATGGAGGCAAGGCCTATTTTGCTTGCCTGGAATTTCCAGCACGGATCCCACAGCGGCCTCTGTAACACCCTCCTGCTGCTTCCCTGCCTTCCCTGCACAAAAAGTTGACTTAATAACAAAAACCAAAAGAGGCAGTGCCTGGTCCCAGCCCTGCAGTGCCAGCCATGGTGTCCCTGGTGGGGATTCGGCTGCCCCACAGCCACGCTCCTCCCAGCCCACAAGGAGTGAGCACTATTCCTCCTGGAGCTCGGGGTGAGGACTGAGAGGTGTTTGCTACTGGAGATGAGGTGCTAGGTGGGGATGGAAAGCGGGCAAGAAGCATGGAAGCACTAGAGGGAAAGATTGAGAGGTGGGGAAAGAGAAATCACCAAGAGGGATGTTGTGTGTGCTCTGCTACCCCATCCAGGCCAGCCTGACTGCTCCCAGAGCCTGGCCAGCTGGAGAAACCCAAGTCAGCCTCATCTTCTCCACAGGATGCCCTACAAGAAGGGAAATGGGCCTCCAGAGAACATGCTGGACTGCAGCTGGGCTGACCTGTGGCTCTCTGGAGGGGTAGTTCTCCCCCATCAGCCACAAAAAGCACAGAAATTCCCACTTCTCCAAGCAAGAGAAGGCAAGGTGAGAGACTGCAAACCACCAGGAAAAACCCACCACACCACAGGAACTCTCCAGCTGGTGGGACCGGGCTGTGCTGAAGTGTCCAGCACTGCCTCCATTCGATCCATCTGGGATTATTCCCCTCACAGCCCTTCCGGGCTGGGGAAGCAGCGCCAGGTAATTGCACAATTCCATGACCCATGTTGAGCCGGATAAACCTCTTCCCCCTGCCTCCTCTGCCCCAGCAGCTGCCAGAGGAGCCTCCAGCAGGCCAGAGCAGGCTCCTCCAAGCCTGCAGATCCATCCACAGCCTGGCAGAACCACATTGCTGAGGACTCAGGCTCATCCCCCACGCAAAGATGCCGGGTGTGATTTGAAAACCCAACGCCGACGAGTTCCTTCGCACTCGTGCACACACCGGGAGGGTGGAAGGATTTTTATTTTTATCCCTTTGCAGCCGGACACAACTCCAGATTTTAACTCACAGAGGAGGAGGCGGCAGCACCCACACAAGCCCCGTGACTCCGGGATTTCGGAGGCAGGCGAGGAGAGCCCCGCGTGGAAGCTGGCACCGGCACAGAGCCATCAAGCCGTGCGAAGACAGGGCGAGCATCACACAACTGCCTGCCTCGGCCGGGGAGCCCGGCACGGCGGCTCGGGGGCTGCAGCCGCCCCTCCACTGCCGGCGCCCACATGCCAGGCCTGCTCCGAGATGTGCTGGCCATCTGCTCCTGCCAGCCGGGGCTGGGGCCGGGGCTCTGCGCCGTGGCTGGGGACGTGCCAAGCCGTCCCGCCGTCGCCACGCTGCCCAGCTGCGCCCCCCGTCATGACCGCACCGCTGTCAGCGGCCCCCAGAACCTGCCGTGGGGATCTTCCCGTGCCTCCAGGCCCTCCCTGCAGCCTTGGCTCTGCTTGGCCAGTGCAAACCTACTGTGTGAAGCACCACTAGGCAAGAGGGGGCTCGACGATTCCTGTCCCCATGCAGGTTTTAAGGCTCCAGAGCAGCCTTACTCTTCCCATCGCTACCAGCGCTCCTCCCTGTTTATGGCCGGGTTTGGTGTTGCCCCCCCAAATATGCCGCTGCAAAAACCCAGCCCCTGACCACCACCACAGGGGCCCCACAGCCGGGGCAAGTCCCCAGGGCCACTTTGCAGCCGGGGAGCTGGCCAGGGCAAAGACTGAACCTTGTCATAGTTGAGACTTATCAGGTTTGGACAAGCGCCGGGGGCTGCCGCGGGATTCGGGAAGTTCCGTAACGAGCGTCCTCTGCTCCAAATAGACGCCGTCCCAGGGGCACAGGCTTGAGCCGTCCCTCTCCAGGAGCCCTCCCCATCAGTGCTGGGGAAACTGCTCCAAGAGTGATCCCCAAGTTCCCACACAGCATCACCATCCAAACCACCCCTGGGCCCTGAGTCGTGGCACCCCAAAGAGATGCCAAGACCTGACCTGGCACCCTCGGCCTTTAATCCATCCCTTTCCAAGTCCTGTCCCAAGTTCTTCCTCTTTGTGAAAGACAAAGAAATGTAAAACATGTGTTTTAACAAATTGCTCCTCGATTTCTAGAGTCCAGCGCGTCAGATGCTCGCTTAAACCCGTCCGTAACACTTTCCATGGGTGTATTTATAACTGAAGGCATAGCTGCCGTCTCGCGCTCCCTCATTAACCCTCTGCGGCCTTGCCACAAACAGAGCTCAAACAGAGAGCACAGAGACGTGCTGGAAAATTCTACACCTACTCATCCCTGGGAAAACACCCCAACGTTCACCATCTGGAAGAGAAATCCCTTCTTTCAATTTCAAAAAAAAATAAAAAAAACACAACCAAACACAACCACAAAACACGGACGCCGTGACCGCTGCAGGTTGGATCCCGGCCGCTTCCCTGACACCCCCAGCATTCCACATGCAGCCCTCCCACCCGGAGAGGCCTCGGGAGCCCGGCTACGCCGCTGCCACCGGGAGGATCGGCCGCTTTCCACTGCAAGGAGTGTCAGTCACTTGTGATAATTAACCAGCTCGAGATAATGAGCTCAGTCTGAGAGCAGCGGCTCTTGCTCCGCGCGCTTCACTCGCAAATCCCTGCTATCGGCGCTGGCACCGCAGCCAAGGCAGGCACGGTGCTTCTACACCCAGCAAAATGCTCAGTCCAAAGGCAGGACGGGCATTTGGGAAAAGAAAGAAGGATTTTTGGTAAATAAGGAGTGTTATATAAAGCTCAGCAGAGCCCAAAGGGAGCAGTTCTTTGGGACTCTGCTCTGCATCCTTGCCGTCACCAGGTAAGGAGTCACACCAGCGGCACAGCAGAGTCCTGCGGGGTGGATGAAAGGAGAAGGGACACAAACCTTCACCCCCATGCTAAAATAATTAATATTAAATGCAAGGGGACAATTAAACAATGTCAAGAAGCAGGCAGAGGCAGGAGGGGAAGAGGCCAGCAGCGACTTAGGGTTAAAACCATCACACCTCGGGAAACCGCCCGTCACAGAGCCTCAGCCTCCCGGCTTGGGCAAAAGTCACCAACCCAAACACAGCTGGGAAATAACCAGAAAAAATGGTGCTGTTACTGGACCTCAGGAAAAATTAGTGACATTTTTTTCCCGCAATCATCCTTGTCCATCCCAACAGTGAGATAGATGGGCACAGCAAGAAGCCAACTGCGGCACCGATTTCTTTCGCAGCCAACAGACATCAGAGGAGGGTTTCAGGTTGGAGCCACTTCAAGAGCTCGCAAGCTGCAGTCAAGAGTAAAATCCACATGTGCTGCAAGCTGGAAAGGCATTTCTGGGTGACAGTAACCCCAATTTCCCCTTGATGGTCCAAACAAAAATACGGATAAAGCAGAAAATGAAGAATGAACCGTGGTGGAAATGTATGGGAACCAGTAGCCAAATTTCTACAGACAAACAAGCAGCACACCCAATCTCAACAATTTTTTTGCCTACAAAAACCCACGCCGTGGCGCAGCTCTCTCCTTTCCACTCTCACAGCAGCTAATTCTTCCGCTCTTTCGTAAACATTTGAAAACAAGGTCACGCGCACAAATTCTGCTTTCAATTTGCCTTGTATCCATAGTGATTAAACTCAGACCCACAATACAGGATTTAAAGGATGAAAAAAAAACCCCAAAACACCCAAAAAATCCCAAAACCCCAACTTTAAGAAGGCCTGGAGCTGGACTAGACCCCGGCACTCTCACCAGCTCGGCAAAGGCCAGGGATGAGAGCATCAGCAATCACTGATTTCTGCTATAAAAAAGGGAATTAAATTGCAGGGCTTGGACGGCCGTGCTATCGCCATAGTGAGGGATGTGGCCCCCCACCTACACCCTCCTCAAGAAACAACCAGCCCAGAGGCAACAAAAATTTAACAGCTCCAAAACTCGGCCGGGCAGCAGGGTCCGGAAAGGACAGCAAGAGCAGGATGAGCAGGGAAAAACGAAAGCAGCTGCAGGGGAGGAAAGACTCAGCAGCCTTCTCCCCATTCCCACTGGAATGGTTTTTCTTTTAAAAAAGAAAAATTATTTTCTTATTGTCTTTCCCCCTAACCTCACACTTCCAAAGGGGAAAGCGTCAGGGCTGGGAGGCTTTAAAACTCAAATTTCTTCACTATCACAGACCCAGAAAAGCCTCTGCGTGACAGTCAACACTCCAAATTCGGCAGGGCCTTCCCTGGTTCCTGCTGAGTGCCTCAGTTTCCCCACCAGCCAGGGGGAGAGAAATAGCATTTCCCTGCCTGTGAGGTTATTAGGATAATAGCCTCATCCAGGACCAGGTCAGGGAGGATATAACTTTCCTCCTGCAGATGCTCCATAGGAAAATAAAGCCAGGAGAAAATGCTTGGCCTCGTCCCTGCGCAGACCTGGGGCTACCATGGGTCTCCCAGGCTCCCAACAAAACATCCTCAAATCCCAGGGCACAACCTGAGCATAACGAAACACCTCTGAAAAGGGGAGAACCGGGGGGCAACGAGACCGCGGGGCAGAAGCACAGCACGGCAAGGGCGGACACCTCCGGGGAAACACGGGGCAGGGAAAGTGACCGGGAAAGCAGCACCGGGACACCAGTCCCCCCCACCACAAGCTTTTGCAGGGCACTGGGGCTTTGTGGGCTCTGAGAGCAGAGCGAGGGGGGCTCCCCGAGGGGCAAGCGACACTTACTTCTCATAGTCCAGCTTGCAGTAGAGCTTCTTGTCGCGGTAGAAGCAGGTGGTCTGCAGGGGCTCCTTGCAGGACGCGCACTGGACGCACTGCTCATGCCACAGGCTGTCGTTCAGGCGCAGCAAGAACCGGTCCAAAATCACTCGCTGGCACCCTTCGCACACCGACTTGGGGGTCGCGGCTCTGCCTGCGGGGAAGGAGCCGGGGGCTGGGGTGGGCGGAGGGAAAGGCGGCCGGGGAGACGGGCCGGGCGAGGGACGGACAGACGGACGGAGGGTCCCGCGGGTCTCGCTTCTCCCGCACAGGCTCGTGGGTCGCGGGGGGACGGGGGTGTGCGGGGAGCTGCTGCGGGATCCAGGAGGGACCTGTGCCTTAGGGCAGCTCCGGGAGGGGCACCTCGCCCCCAATTTCGTTCCTCTTGGAAAGGCGGCAGCGGAGCCGCAGCTCAGACAGAGGGCGACGGTTTGAAACCGATATTAAAACGAAGATAAAAAGAAAAAATGCATTATTTACTGCTCGATACGAAGGATAGCCCTTCGTTACAAGGTGGGTTTAGGGGGACACACATTTAATGCGATCGCGGAACGAAGCGGGGCAGCGAAGGCGGGCGCCGGGGGCACAGCCCGGGCGAAGGCAGCGGCGCCGGGCAGCACCGAGCCGGGGAAAGCCGTCCCCGGCCTCCCGAACCCTCCGTGCCCATCCATCGCTCGGGCCCGCCCGGCCGTGCCCCGCCCTATGGGGTCCCCAGGAGGGCAAGCGGGGTGCCCCGACTTACCCAGCAAGGAGGAGAAGGGGGTCGCGGGGTCCAGGGCGCTCTGCAAACTCTCCTCCATCTTCAGCCCGTCCAGCATGGTGGGGAGCCGGGCCGGGCGAGGGGCCGCGCCGCCCGCCTGCCAACACAGCCCGGACACACCGCGCTCAGCCCGGCCGCCGGCCCCGCCGCCCCCGGCCGGGGCTTCCCCGCCCGCTGCCGGCGCCGCGCTCCCTCCTCCCTCCCTCCCTCTCTCCCTCCCTCCCAACGGGAGAACCCCTCGGGCCCCCCGTTCCGGCCGCGCAGCCGCTGCCCCCGGCCGGGCTCGCTGCAGCCCCCCAGCCCCGCCGCCCCGACGTGGGGAGGCCGCCGGAGCCGGGCCCCCGCAGCCGCGGGCGGGAGGATGCGGGACCGGAGGATGCGGGGCTGCCGTCGGCGGGGCTCGGCCGCTTACCTGGGGCGGCCCGGGCGGTGCCTTCCTGCCAGGAGCCGGCGGGAGAGGCGTCGGCAGCCGCGGCTCCTGGGGGGTCCCGCGGCGGCTCCTGCCTCCCCCGCTGTAGCGCTGCCCCCCGCGTCCCCGCCGCCGGCGCTGCCCGGGGTGCGCAGCGAGCCGCGGCTCCCTGGACGGCTCCGGAGAGGAGCGCACCAACCTGCGGGGAAGCGCCCGTCCGACTGCTGCCAAGGCACATTTCCTGGAGCTGATACCTCCCTGCCCGACCCCCACCCCCTGCCCTCCCCTCTCCACCCCACTCGAAATAAGTTTCCTCCCCGCTCTCCTGCCTGGCTGCAGGCACCGGCCCCGCCACGCCTCGAGGGGCCGTCGGCCTTTCCCGGCTCCGGGGTGCTCGGCTCGGCCTGGCCGCCCCGGCTCCGCTCCGCTCCCTGGCTTCTTTTTCCTTCTTTTCTTAGAAAGCCAAAAAGAAGGAAAGAAAAAAAAAAAAAAAGAAAGAAAGACAAAAAAAAAAAAAAAAAAAAAAAAAAGGTAGAGGGTGGTGCCCCACCACAGCGTCTCTCCCAGTAATGAAACCGGCTGGAAATCAAGTCCCCCTTCCAGGAGGAGCCCAGGCCGGCAGTTTTTGGGGAAAGTCGGTCTCCTGCCCGGGGCGGTCCCCGGCGGGGATGCGCTCCCCCGCGCCGCGCATCGCCCCGGGCGCCTCGCTCCCGCTGCTCCGGAGTGTTAAAAGAAAATCAGTGCTGGGAGAAGGAAAACAAAAAAGAAATAACAAAAAAAAAAAAAACCAACAACAACAACAAAAAAATCCCAGCACCAAAGCCGGAGAGCTGCCCCGGAGGGCTCGTCTCCAGTGATCCCTGGCGCCGAGCCGGGCTCGGTGCGCTCCGGGCGCCGGTTCCGCGGGGCCGCAGGGGGAAGCGGCCCCGGAGAAACCGAGCTCCGTCTCCGCCAAACCGCATCGGTTTCGGGGAGGGGAAACCCGCGGAGGAACGGTCCCGCCCGGCCGGGGAAGAAGAAACTTGGAGCCTTCCCGCAGCCCCGGCGCTTTCCCGTCCTTCCCGGCTCTCCCTTCGCTCCTATTTGTGGGGTTTCGCTGTTTCTCGGGGAGTTTCGCGGCCCCGCAGGTCGGAGCGGGGCTGGGGCCGCGTACCTGCCGCTGCCGGAGCAGCCCGGACAGGGATCCGCGGCTTCCCCGGCACGGAGCAGGGCTGGGTCCCCCGTCTCCGGCCGCAGAGCTGCGAGGGAGCCGCTGTAGGATCGAGGAGGATGGGAGGCTTTTAGGGACCTCACCTCCTGTGCTCACCGCTGACCTTGGCACCAGGGGCAGATGCGCTCCCAGCCTCTCTGTGGGGCATCCTCGTCACCGAGTGCTCCCCACACCCAGATGACGTGGGCGATGCAGGGACCGAGGTCGTGTCCTCTGGGAATTCGGAGGAAGGAGAGAGGCCACAGGTTAGCACAGGCAGCTCGCCGCCCTGCCAAAATCCCCCGGGAGAGGGAAGCACGGTCCTGGGACAGCCCTACTGCATCCCAGAGTGACTCCACCGGGAGTTCGGGCAGGAAAGCCTTGGTGCTATCACACGGGTCAGTGTCAAACAGCACTGGCCACTCACATCCAGGAGGGCTGGGCTGCAGCGGGGAGGCACGGGGCTCTGACACCTTTGTCTTTGGCTCTCCCGAAGGTCTCTGAGCAGCTACAGCCAAGTGTCAGAGCAGCCAGATCCACTGGAGCCACCTTGCCAAGGCACCAGCCCAGCAAGGACTGACTGCAGCGTGACCAGGGGCTCCAAGCACTGCCTGCTGCTCTTCCCCACCCTGTCCATCCCACAGAGCTGTGCAGGGCAGATTTTCCTCACCCAGCCAGGGAGTGGCAGCCCCTTGGGGTGGGAATACCATCCACCAGCAGTGCTAAAAACTGTGTCCCTGTGCAGGGCACTTTGCTGGCAAACTCAGCCCGCCCACCTGATTTTCCCTGCTCAGAGATGCAGGAGCAGCTGGGAGGGAAGTCATTCTTTCCTGGATGTTGCCACCCCATGGTTTTCCTCCTCCTCTTCTCCATACAGGGAGGGTTTGGAGACTGTCTCACCTTGAAGCCCTTGTGTACCATTCCCAGCTTGGTCTATGAAGATCAGGTTTGGGGGCTGAGGCAAGTGTGGAACACCAGGGTGTTGCTGCTCATGATTTACACATCCACCAGCTCCCACACAGGTCAGAGGTACTGGAGCACACCTGGCCTCGTGCAAAAGGTGATCACCAGGTGAACCAGTAAAATATGCAAGAAATACACTCCAAACCCCCCCCAAAGTGCAACTTCAACATGGGCAGTGGCCCTAGAAAACATGGGGGGAGTATTTCAGGCAGCTCACTACAGCCTCTGAGGAGCAGTTTCCATTATTAGCTCACCCAGAGCTGAACTAGGGGCAACATCAGGAGCCAAAGATAATTAAACCAGAGGAAAAGCAGGTCCTGCCTTTTTCCTTCTAGCTGTAGGGTCTGCAGGCAGCCAGGTGTTGCAAAAAGTGGGTGGTGCTGGAGAAGTGCATGAAACAGAAGCTGCCAACCGAATGAGCAAGGCCACAACGTTGGCAGAGGGGCTGCACATCTTCCCCAGCCCTGCTGGGGCTGCCCAGCTGTCACATTCTGTGCAGGTCCCCACTGCTCACTGCTGGAAGGGGACCAGCAGCACTCAGCTCCCAGGTAGCCACAGCCACAGCAGCTGCCAGATCCCTCCTCCAGCATCACCTGAACTCTGCCCAGCCAAGCAGATGCAGAAACCCCCAGGAGCAGGCAGGGCTGGCCCCAGGAGCAGGCAGGGCTGGCCCCAGAAGCAGGCATACAGGAGACCCAGGAAGAAGATGGCTCCAAGCCACCTGCCTTGGGACAGGAGTTGCTGGGCCAGCACCATCCAGGTGCCTCAAATTCCCAAAGCCAGCTTGCCACAGAAGAAAAAGCCTTGTCCAGCAGCAGAGATGTCCCTGGATGCCACTCCCCCTGCAAGGAGCACAGCTCCCTGTCCTGCTGCCACCCCCTTCAGCAGCTGCACAGCCAGCTGGGCTGGCCAGCCTGGCACAGAGGCAAGCCAGAGAGCAGCCCACAGCCACCAGGCTGTCAGATAGCCCTGGGGTGATCAAATCTCTCCTCTCACCACTGAAATCCACCAGACCAAGCCTGTCTCAGGTAGAGTTGATTGCACAGAGGGCACAGGAAGAGAGGAGCGAAAAATGGAGCGGCAGCCTTGCTTAGATAGAGGTTGGTCTTTGTCACTCACACTGATAAACTCCTGGGGATTTATCAGGGCTTCTCTACCATGCTTTCCACTACAATGTACCTTGCCATCATCCCTGAGAGAGGATACACACTCTGCTTCCCACTGCCAGCAGCAGCAGCTCTGGGGAGCCTCCTCTTCTTCCCCCTGCTCCCTGTGCCCCAAGAGGCACCAAGAGAGCCCAGCCTCCCATGGGACAGCAGAGAGCTGGGAGAGGGACACAGAGGGGAGGAGCAGAGGAACCAGGCAGCAAAGGGAGTATCTCAGGAAGTTCAGGTGAGATGGGAAAGGCAGTCCCATCAAAGGGCTCAATCCAGACAAGAGGTCCTTGGGAAAAGGTCAGTGTTGGTGGCACTCAGTTGGATTCACACTTTTGGTGTCTGAGAGTCATGTCAGGTCTGAGAGTCATTCAGGATGTGCCCCTGAACCACTCAACCCATCAGGGAGCCCAGAGTCAATCTGAACATAAACCAGCTCAAACTTTTACAGTTTGAGATGTATTTTTTTCATTCTCAGTCCAGAATTGCTGTTGTTTGACTCAGCAGAAACTGAAGCAGCTGCTACAGAACCCAAAACTCCATTATTTTTTGAAGCCCCCTCCACAGAGCATTGCAGAGGGAGCAGCTCAGAATTAATAAATGCTTTGACACATTTGGCCTGGGCACCAGAACTAAGCTTGCCCATGGTGGGGGGGACCTGCTGCTAACTCAGGAAGCTCATGAGATGTCATGCATGGTGGAAGAGAGAAAATGGCCTTGCACCAGTCATTCCCAGAGCCTGGCTTGCTTATTAATCCCAGAGCAAAGGAAAAATTGTCTGAGCTTGATCTGAGGCTATGAGGGGCTTCAGTGACTGGATGAAGCTTTCTTTGGTGTATCATTGGTGGTGATTTCTACTATTTTATGAAAATTACGTTTTTCCAGGGCTGGGGAAGCTGCAGCCATGCCAAGCTGCTGTCCTTCTGCAGCAACTGACAGAAGGATAACCACAGCAGTGAGTTATTGCCAGCTGCTATGGGATTTGTTCCTTGGGGTGTCCAAAGACTCACTCCTATGCTTTGCAAGGCTTGGGGAGGCACAGCTCTTGGACAACACCCCTGTAGAGAGGTCTACAGTATGAATGAGGAATCCAAGGGTTGGGACCAAATCCAGGAGATTGCATCAACCCTCAGGTCCCCAGTGACTGCAGACAGAGCTGGGTTGCTCCATGCCTTGTTTCCTCTGCAGAGGACATTGGTTTGCTAGTGGCACTTTCAGATGAGCAAGTGGTGTCTCACTCACAGAGGCCACGTGGAGAGTCATGGTCTCTCTGCCCTGCCAGACACAGGGTGGGGGAGTCTGTGCTGTGCTGTGTGTTAATTCTTTTTTCCAAAAACCCAGTA